TCGCTTGCACGGCCCTCTCTGTTCGTACACAGCAGGTCCAGTGGGGCGCCTCCCCTGGTTGTCTCGCTTACCAGCTGTGTCAGGAATTTATCTACCTCCCACACACTCCAGGAACCTCCGAGACTGCTTCCTGTCTGCTGTGTTGTGTTTCCAGCAGGTATCTCGTAAGTTGAAGTCTCCCATGAGAACAAGGGCTAGAGATTGTGAGACTTCAGCCAACTGCTTGTAGAAAACTTCGTCTGTTTCCTCATCCTGGTTGGGTGGTCTATAACAGACTCCCACCAGGATATCTGCCTTGTTAGCCTTCCCCCTGATCTTTACCCATAGGCACTCAACCTTATCATTACCACCATTGAGTTCTAGACAGTCAAAACATTCTCTAATGTACAAGGCTACCCCACCACCTCTCCTTCCTTGCCTGTCCCTTCTAAAGAGCTTGTAGCCATCCATTGCAGCACTCCAGTTGCGCGAGTCATCCCACCATGTTTCCGCGATGGCGACCACATCATAGTTTTCCTGCCACGCCATGGCTTCCAGCTCCTCCTGCTTATTGCCCATGCTGTGTGCATTGGTGTAAATGCACTTCAGTTGGGCTATTAATCTCTTCTCCAACACAGGCATGCCACCCCTAGGCTCATCCCTAGCAAGCCTGGTTTTATCCCCTTCCCCCTTCGCATCTAGTTTAAAGCTCTCTCAACTAGGCCAGCTAACTCCTGAGCCAGAATCCTTTTCCTGCTTTGCGACAGGTGAACCGAACCCCACTCCACTCCAGCAGGCCTGATGTAAACTGCTCCATGATCGAAAAAAACAAAATTCCACCACTGGCATCAGCCTCTAAGCCACATGTTAATGAGGTGGGTCTTCCTGTTCCTTTCCATATGCCTCCCACCTACTGACGGAATGGAGGAAAACACCACCTGCACAATAGGTAATTTTTATAATTAACCTGGAGTTCTTCACTGTTGCATCAGGTAGAATGATCCACACTTCATTAGTAAAGCTTGCAGTGAAAAGAAATATTTGGGTTTAGAATTACCGCGCTCATGATAATGGTGGTGCTAGGAAGAAACTGGATGTTGGTCATCGATGGAGGAAAACACCACCTGCACAATAGGTAATTTTTATAATTAACCTGGAGTTCTTCACTGTTGCATCAGGTAGAATGATCCACACTTCATTAGTAAAGCTTGCAGTGAAAAGAAATATTTGGGTTTAGAATTACCGCGCTCATGATAATGGTGGTGCTAGGAAGAAACTGGATGTTGGTCATCCCTCCAAGAGCTAGTCTCCTGAGCCCATCTTTGGCTTGCATGTGGAAACACTCTTTATCACCATGAAGTCTAGAGCCTGTGTTTTGTTGTTGTGGGTGTTTTTTAATTTAAAATGAAAGCTTGCATTCTGCAGAATCTGAATAAACCACGTCGAACTCCCATGTATCAGACAGGCTGCACAGTGATTTGGCTGAGCAAATGCTCAGCTTTGGCTCAGACTGAACAACTCCTGACCCTTGACACAGGGAGAACCAGAGAATTCCTTGGGTTTATATATATTCACACACACACACACACACATATATATATTTAAAAAAATATAAATAAAGATATATAAAAGAGGCAGTAAAAATACATAATTTATTAATACTTCTCTTTAAACCAAAACAAACACAATGAGAAAATCTGAGTGATTTTATTTCTCACACAAAATCAGCAGAGGGATTTTGTCTAAGTGGTTTAATGGTAACGCTGCCGTTTTCACACTACATATAAAATTTATCGTATACAGTTTTACATACTTTGTTTAATTAACAGTCTGTATTAAAGTTGCATAGGTAAAACTACGTAAGACAGACCGCAGCAGATGGTAGATGATCACTAAGTCTCCATCTTTCTCCCTGATGTCCAGTATTTCAACCCAATTGCTGAAGAGAAGCAATAAATGCTGCATCCAGTATTAACGATGAACTGGTGAATACATGAAAAGCCATTATGGACTACAGACAAGTGTACAATGTTACAGAGAAAAAAAGAAATAAAACTTTATGTAGTAGTACAAAACGTTAAGATTAAATCCTGTCAGAAAAACAGTAGTTGACGAATTCGTATGTATGAGGTCCTTAAATAACATCCAAATTGAAGTCTCTGTAGTTGTTTCTGTCTTAAATATATTCAAAAATTCTCCCTCCTTTTTTACAAAACACTCTT